AATAGGTTCTATATGAGTCAGTTTTATAAATGCATTTATTTTCATACAATACAGATAGAGTTTCGATTGGATATTGGCTGAAAACTTGTACTCATCTGGTACTGACATGCTTTTGAGAACAAAGCCAACTCTGCAATCTTAACAGAAACATCAGTAATATGATCGTGACATACTTTGAGGCTGTTTGTCAGTGACTATCTCACATATTCACAGCATAAAATCCATCAATAGATTGGAGAGGAAAATTCGATACAGAACCTTGGCTGATGTCATCCCTTACACTTAGAGCAAAGCCATGTCATTTATTATAACATCAAGGTATGGTCGTCTGGTCATTAAGAGCAGGAGCAAACTGTACAGAATAGTGTGATTGGTAAGCAGTGCATAGGCTACATCCCAAATCTCTAATTAATGTCTAATTAATTTTCCTTAACTTTTTTTTTTACTTTTTAATCACTGTCCATTCCTGCTTCCCCAAGGCGAGGATGTTCAGAAGGTTTTAGATCAATGGAAAGAGTACAAGATGGGTGTTCCTACATATGGTGCAATTATTCTGGATGAAACCCTTGACAATGTGAGTATGTTACGGCCAGAGCTAATAAAGATCAGATAATAATGTACATGAAGGCTTCCTCTGTCAACTTATGCATGCAACTTGTGTAGGTATTACTGGTGCAAGGATACCTGGCCAAATCAGGATGGGGCTTTCCTAAAGGGAAAGTCAATGAGGATGAAGCACCCCATGACTGTGCTGTACGAGAGGTAAATAAACCCCCTGAAGAGCTTCACAATGCTTAGGTCCTGGAAGAAAAGTATAGCATGACTTAGTAATGCTCACTTGATGCATTGACTAAAGGTTCAGTGAAAAGATCAAACTTCCAGCTTTTCACTTATTTTATTATTTTTTGAAAATTAAGTTTTTATTGGTTTTCTTTATACATAACATACCAGTACAAAAATCCAGCAATAAATAAGTAAATGTACTGTATACAAAAATACATAAATAAATAACAAAACCAAAAAAAAAAAAACAGGGAGAGAATAAGAATATAATAAGAATAATAATAATGTTGATAACTGATTAATAAATAACCAATCAATGATATCACTGTAATGCATAACAGGGTAAGTAAGTCACAATCTAAACATGGATCTAGTATCAGTCATTCTATGAAGCAACAATCTGAATAAAATTCTCCCACATGTCAACATCTCTATGATGTCCATTCAGTTTAGCTAACATTTTTTCATATGATACATTCTCAATCATAAATTCAATCCACATTTTAATTGAAGGACATTGAATATCTTTCCAAAATCTAAGTATCAGACGTACTGCTGTTACTATACCCACTGTGATAAGAGAGAACTCATTGTTTTTAATCTGGAGAATCTCAGATTTATCTCCCAACAGACATCCTGGATGAGAGTGGAATGTCAAATCCCAAACATCTTCCTAGATATTTTTGAATTGGAGGTTCATGGCTAATTGTTATTAATAAGCAATTAGGGTTTCTTAAACAGGCGGGTGTTTTTATAATAAAAGTTTAAGGTAAGTTAGACCTATATTTTTTCTTAGTTATATTAGCATTGATGCAGCAATACAAAATTAAATAGCTGATCAACTGCATTTAAAATAAGTGAAAAGCAAAATTTTCAGGATATAAAATAAACTGGCATAAGTCAGAGGCTATGCCAGTATCGGGAGCATGCTTATGAATAAAGGAATTAAATATTTGGGTATCCACTTGAGCCCTAATTTAGAGAATATATTGTATTTGAATATGGATCCTTTGTTGCAGAAAATACAGGCAAAGTTAGATAGTTGGAAAAAACGTATGTTAACTTTATGGGATAAGATTAACATAATAAAGATGGTGGTAGTGCCACAGTTTAATTACATATCAGGAATGGTCCCTGTAACCATGCCTCCTCAGATATATAAACAATATAATGCTATGGTTAAGACTTTTTTGTGGTAAGGTAAAAGACCCAGGGTTGGGGTTAATAAATTATGTTTGCTTAGAAATAGGGGAGGTTTAGCATTACTTAATGTAGAGCTCTATAATATACCATTTGAAATGTCTAAGCTCGCTAGACACTGGGGGAATGAGGATTTAGATTGGGTAATAATAGAACGACAACTTACTTCCCCTTTTCGGCCAATAGAGGCTTTTTCACAGATCCCAGAAGGGGACTTGCAACATCATATGATCAACCCAAGATTGCTTCATTCTAAAGAGGTTTGGAAAATTGCCCACCAAAAGTGTCAGATTTGTCACAGGTGTCAACATTCCTCTTCAGTATGGAATAACCCTTATGTTAAAGTAGGGAAAAAGCCCTTGTTTTGGGGACAGTGGTTTGGAAGTGGAATACATACTCTAAAGGATTTATTTAGTAATGGTAACCTTTTGTCCTATAATAATTTGAAAGAAAAATTTCAGTTAGAAGGCTGCAATCATTTCTGGAAATATTTACAAATTAAACACTGCTTGGAGGCAAAGGTTCCCAGGGAACAAAACAAGAATGTTTTAGAAAATTTTTATGAACTACCAAGACACCGGCAAAAAGCATCTACATTTTATCAACTCTGTTTCAGGATTGATGACAATAATTGTAATAACCTGAGCTTGATTTGGCAGAGAGACATTTATAGTGACATAGAGAAAGACACTTGGAACAGAATTTTGTTTTATAGTGGAATGTATATAAAAGAAGCAAGAGGCAAATTTATCCAATTATCCAATAGGTATTATTACACACCAGTTCGATTTTTAGAATGGGTTGTATGAAGGATAATAAATGTAGATGGAAATGTAAAGAAGAAACTGGTACATATATTCATGCTCTTTGGCAATGTTCAAAGATTCAACCTTTTTGGGAAGCTGTGTTAAGTGAAAGTGAAGTGAAGTGTGGCCAAGTGCGGTGACCCATACTCGGAATTTGTGCTCTGCATTTAACCCATCCAAGTGCACACACAGTAGTGAACACACACCCGGAGCAGTGGGCAGCCTTTTTTGCTGCAGCGCCCGGGGAGCAGTTGGGGGTTCGGTGCCTTGCTGTGGGGGTTTGGTGCCTGAGACTCGAACCCACGACCTTCAGGTTCGACTCTCTAACCATTAGGCCACGACTGCCCCAAAAAAGAAGTAAACTTGAGACCACAACCATGTTTTGTCTATGTAAGCAATGTAAATTTTAGATTTTAAATCGAACCATTTCTTTAATGTGCTTTATATTTGCTGTAGGTTTTAGAGGAGACTGGTTTTGACATCAGAGACCGCATCTGCAAAGACACCTTCATTGAGCAGAAAATCACAGATCAACTTGCTCGACTATACATAATCCCTGGTGTACCAAAGGAAACAAAATTTAACCCCAAAACCAGGAAAGAAATAAGGGTGCGGTATATTTTCAGTCTCTGTTACTTAAAAGGCAATTAATTGATGACTTATTGATTCAGAACAGAGTGGTGAGTTAATAAACATTTTTCTTTTGTTACTTTTAATAGAACATTGAATGGTTTCCTGTTGATAAACTGCCATGTCATAGAAATGACATGACCCCCAAGTCCAAGCTTGGCCTGGCTCCCAACAAGTTTTTTATGGCTATACCTTTTATGAGGTATCTTCTGTTTTATTTTTTGGTATTAAATAACAGTGTAAATACCAATACAGTGATTTTGTTCATCAGTGATTTTGAATATTCAGTTTGGTGCACTGCTCTCCTCACAGGCAGCTCAGAGAATGGATAGCCAAGCATAAACTGGAATCAACGAGCAGTGACGAGGACTTTTTATCCAATGGCAACACTCCATGCAAACCTTTTCGGTGAGCAAGATTGTTAATATAGTTTTGCTCTTCAGGTGACACGATCATAATGAAATCTAGCCTTGCTTTTCCTGAATGAGAACCTGGGTGTGTGCGTGCAAATCATTTTCTACAAACAAATCAGAGAACCACACTGACCAGTGGTGTGCGAACTCTGTCTAGCTTTCCTGAGTACCACATGAATCTACATATTGCTTAGGCCAACCCCCTCATGTTGTGAATGTGTTCTGTGGACTCTAAACACTTTGTAGCTGGACATGTGTGTGATTAATAAAGACAGCTTGTCTCTACTTTGAGAATATAATTATGTGGATTATATTATATATGTTATGTATTTATATTCACAATTATATAATATGCCAATTTTAGTTATTTTTTTCTTTAACCTGTTTCTTCCCCCAGATCGAAGCCCAGGCGCTCACAGATTGCAATGGAGGCATCTCCATGCGAAGGCTGGACAAAGCACAAGCAGCAGAAAGCTTTTGGGCAGCCTGGTCAATGTGAGCTTGCAGACTTTCTCAGAGTCAAGGTTTGTGGTTACACATACTTTATATACCTGAACAATAACTGAACCAGTTTTATGTGTAATAATATAGTATATTTTGAATATTTTTAATGACAAATATAAAAATGAATGCACACTATATGAAAGGAACACATGTGAACTATATGACCAAATGTTTGTGGACACCTGACCATCACACCCATATGTGGTTCTTCCCCAAGCTGTTGCCACACAACTGTATACGATTTAAGACATGATTGTGTTTGTATGCTGTAGAATTACAATTTCCCTTCACTGGAATTAGGTGCCAATTGTGCTAAAGCGAGGTCCATGAAGACATGGTTTGCCAAAATTCATGTGGAAGAACTCGAGTGGCCTGCACAGAGCCTTGACCTCAACCCCACTGTACACCTTTGGGATGAACTAGAATGCCAACTGCTCCCCAGGCCTTCTCACCTGACATCAGTGCCTGATCTCTAAAGCTCTTGGGGCTGAATGAGCAGAAATCACCACAGCCACACTACAAAATCTAGTGGAAAGCCTTCCCAGAAGAGTAGAGATTAGTATAAGAGCAAAGGGGGACTAGAATTGGAATGGGATGTTCAAAAATCACATATGGCCATGATGATCTGGTGTCCACAAACTTTTTGGCCATATAGTGTATATTGTCCTTGGTGGTCTAGCGGCTAAGGTGCCCATGCTCTCACCGCTGCGGCCTGGGATCAATTCCCAGGAAGGGAACCCACCCAGATCTCAGTGCCGATCCTAAGCCCGGATAAAATGGGTTGCGTCAGGAAGGGCATCCAGCGTAAAACCTGTGCCAAATCAAACATGCGGACCAATGATCCGCTGTGGCGACCCCTAATGGGAAAGAACAACAACAGTGTATATTGTAAATATATTCAATACTTAAATTCAGTGTGAAATAAATGTGACAGGGTACGATAGCCAGCTCCTGTCACAAGCCACCACAATGTCAGCACATATGTACGCAGATTGACAGCCTGGCAGAACTTTGTATTCTCACATATACAAACAATTGCACAAAAAAGTTAAACATTTCCCTGATTATTCACAAATTTCACAACCATTCTCCATCATCAAAGGGATCGACTCCATTTCGCCACAATTGCCTTTTTTTGTGAGATTAAGGTCGACAGAAGGAAATCACCATTACAAATGAAAACAACTAAATAAAACAAATCACAGATACAGTCAGTACCTACTTTAATGACAGCAGTTGTGAGTATTTTTGGGTCATTGTGCTCATATTGACAGTGTTCTTAAAAGAGAAACAGTTCTTTTGTGTTTTGATAAACTTTTTTTTTTTTTCTTTAAAGATGTTTTTATGTTGTTTTGGTAGTGAACCGATATACTAAACTGTCTTTTATAGATAAAAATAGGAAGAGCTTTGAAAAAAACAAACTTTGTAGTGACTTGTTAGCAAAAAAAAAATTCATTTCAGAATGAATTTTTAGCTTTACTTGCTTGAATATGTGATTACAGTGTGAGCTAATAGTAATCTAGAAACATTGTTAATATCCCCGGTGCTGACTGTGAACTTTCAGTGAATTTCAGCGCGAGTGTACTTCTCCAGAAGATAACCAGAAGAGGGCGGTGTTGTTGTAGTGATGAATTTGGGCCCATACATTGTATTTCTTTTCTCTTGGTTGTGTATGTAAATGTGAAGTAATGTAAATTAGTTTGTTGTTCTGAATGATATTCATTTATACAGAGATATAATCAGATAAGCAACAGCGATTTTTCGAATTACAGCAAAATATCAGCAAATATCAAAATATCAAATGTCATGTTTTTGCAGAACCATAATGTGAAAAGCAATGGGAGGAAGCACCAGGATTCCCCTAATGTAAAGAAAAGAATGAATGAGGTCAGTAGTCAGCAGATACATTTTATCTCTCCATTCATTCATAACTAAATATTTGATAACTTGGAGGATAATTTCTATCAGTCTAAAACATTGACGTCTGTATGACAAATTTCCTGTAGAGAGATGAAAAGAAGCTTCAGCCCAGAAGACTGCAAGACAACTTTGATGCAGGTACATTTATTAGTGCTACAGTGACAGAACTGTTACCTTGACTGAATAAATAAGTTTATCTAATCAGATATAGTTGTGTTAGACTCGTGAATATTCATGTGACCAGATGTACCAGCATTCCATGGCTTTCATATGATAAAATCTGGACTTCACAAGTCTGTATTCTCCTTCTGCAGGTGGTTCATGTGGTTGTAGACTAATCACAGGAAATTGCCCCTAACAGATATAAGCTACCATTATAGGACGGGGGGCTCCAGTCTTATCCGCAAAGGATCTGTGTGGCTGTAGCTTTTTTTTTTACCCCCTCAGGAGCCGCACCTAATCTCACTTGTGTAATCTATTGATCTTGATCTTGGTCTTGAGACTATTTGGCTGGAATGACAAGCTGCTGCCACTTTGGTCCTTTGCAGGTAAAAAAAATTGGAGACTCCTTTTAAAAAGACATAGGGCTCAGGATCCGTCTGATAACTGTAAATTCATGTAATTAACTCCAGGAAAGCAAATATGATAAGTTAATTTGGTTTTTCAAGAACTGTAAATGTTAAAGAATTATTGCACATAAATAAGAATTATCCGCTGAAAGAAGTGAGAATGCTTTAGCTTAAGCCAAGCAGAAAGAGAATGTGCACTCATTAGCAGATGCTATTATCCAGAGCAAAGTACAAAAGAAATATTCTTTTAGTCCATTCTTTGTTTTCATTGCAACATTGCTAATAAAAGCAGATAAACTTGTTATACAAGGATAGGCTTCGATTACCTAATCTACAAATATCATGGTATGCCATCTTAATGTTTAGCCCAGACTTGTGTACTTCAGCCAGGTTGTGCATGCACTAACTGGCCACTTTAGTAGGAACACCTGTACTGCCCCTGGTTGGATTTTTGGTGCCAGACCGCTAGTCTGAGAGTTTCAGAAATCTCCTGGGATTTTCACACAGAACAGTCTCTAGAGTTTACACAAAATGTGTGAAGCACAAAAAAATATCAGTTGAGAGGCAGTTCTGCAGGTGGAAATGCCTTGCTGATGAAAGAGGTCTTCAGCTGTCCAGTTTCTGCTCACCAAAGTTGTAAAGAGTGATTAGTTGAGTTACCATAGCCTTCTCTCATCAACATTCTTATAAATAAAAATACATTTATTCATAAGAAATCTATTTCTTATAAAGCTGTTCCACCCACAGAACTGCTGCTTGCTGGATTTGTTTTGTTTTTTGAAGTATTCTGTGTAAGCTCTTTATATTCACTGATCAGCCATAACATTAAAACCACTGAAAGGTGACGTGAATAACATTCATTATCTCGTTACAATGGCACCTGTCGGGGGGAGATATATCAGTCAGCAAGTGAACAGTCAGTTCTCGGAAAAAAAAAAAAAATGGGGAATCAGAGTAACTTTGACAAGGGCCAAATTGAGATGGCTAGATGACTGGGTCAGAGCATCTCAAATGGCAGGTCTTGTGGGGTGTTCCTGGTATGCAGGTACCTACCAAAAGTGGTCCAAGGAAGGACAACTGGTGAACCAGTGACAAGATTATGGGCACCCAAGGCTCACTGATGTGCGTGGGGAGTGAAGGCTAGTATGTCTATTCCAATACCACAGAAGACCTACTGAAGCACAAATTGCTGAAAAAGTTAATGTTGGCTATGACAGAAAGGTGTCAGAACACAGTGCATCGCATCTTGCTGCGTATAGCTGCAGACCGGTCAGAGTGCCCACGCTGACCCCTGTCCACCACCGAAAGCGCCTACACGTGAGCATCAGAACTGGACCATGGAGCAATGGAAGAAGGTGGCCTGGTCTGAATCACCATGGTTTCCTTTACATCATGTGGATGGCCGAGTGCGTGTGTGTCACTTGCCTGCGGAAAATATGGCAGCAGGATGCACTATGGGAAGAAGGCAAGCTTGCAGAGGCAGTGCTCTGGGCGATGTTCTGCTGGGAAACCTTGGGTCCTGGCATTCAGACCAAATACACACCTTCATGGCAACGGTATTCCCTAATGGCAGTGGCCTCTTTCAGCAGGGTAATGCGCCTTGCCACACTGCAAAAATTGTTCAGCAGTGGTTTGAGGAACATGACAAAGAGCTGACTTGGCCACCAAAGTCCCCAGATCTCAGTCCGATCGAGCAAGTCCGATCCTTGGAGGCCATATCGCAACTTACAGGACTTAAAGGAACTGCTGCTAACGTCTTGGTTCCAGATACCACAGCACACCTTCAGAGGTCTTCTGGAGTCCATGCCTCAACAGGTCAGAGCTGTTTTGGTGGCACAAGGGGGACCTACACAATATTAGGGAGCTGGTTTTAATGTTATGGCTGATGAGTGCATACTGTAGTGCATGAAAATCCTGGGAGATCACTAGTTTCTGGAATACTCAAACCAGCCTGACTGGTATCAACAACCAGGCCAAGGTCAAAGTCTCCAGAAAGCACCAGGGTGACGAAGCACATTTATTAGCTCATTATCGCTATTAATGAGTTTCACAAAATGATGATTTTCTTATCTTTACTCCAGATGCAGCGAGTGACGTTCGTGGTGTGAATGGGCAGTCAGAATACGAGCAGATTTACTCCTCAAAGTCCTTCCTTAACTTCAAGTTTGATCGTGAGGCAATCATGAAGTCATGCTTTGACTCCTGACTACCTCTATCTCAGTTCCTCAATTTTAAAGGCACAGCTTGGTGCAGTTTGAGCCATTCTAGTAAACTCGCATGTTCATAATATGTTTGTTCTTCGAAAAAAGGGCAGTCATATAAAGGTTGTTGGACCAATATGACTAAAAATTGGGGCATATATCTTACATCCACAATACAAGTTTATGTATGTATGTCTCATAAATGCTGAGAATTTTAGATTGGCAGTGATATTATTCAGACATGTGCAATCACTGTTTTATTTCCACTTCCTTTGGGGTTCTGGTAAAGATGTAAGTCACAGAGAGGATTTGTTCTGTAGCGCTTTTGGCACTGAAACAGTAATAGCTTCTTAGTAAAAACAATGCTTCTAGTTTGCCAAGTTAGTGAGTTCAGAACTATTTCTGATCAGTTCTTTAAATCCAGTGTTGTGTAAACTTAAACTGAAAACTTAAAGTGACAGTTTAATAATTATAATTATAATAATAACAATAATAATCAGAGCTTTAAAGTAACAGTCGTTTAAATCTGGGCATCATTTATCATGGAAAAAAAAAAAATCAGTCCCATTTTGCTTTTCTCTATGCTGAGCCACGGAACTTGTGATTTGAAACATGCTAAAGCTGGAGTTGTATTACGCTCTGTTCATATACGAGCTTCGTGATCTAGTTTTACATGCTCAAACTAAATTATCACTGTTGTGTCTACAAAAGTATCACCTTTTTGCCTTTGAATGTGAATCTTTTGAGTGGCAATTACATTGTTTTTAAAGAAGCAACTGTATTTTTCTTTCCACCAGGCTTTAAAATGCTGCTAGAGTTTTACATGTCACCTGCACATTTTCTCGCATTTTTCATTCTTTCAATGTCCTCTGTAAAGTGGCACTGATTCTTTCAAAAGTAAATGCAGTACATGTGGAAATCTCACTCGTATGCAAACGTATTTACACTGTTATCCAGTGGTTATTTTCAGTCTCACCATTTATGTGTAGTTCCTTTTTTCTTTTTCTTTTTAATAAAGATGCTGTTTTTTGACAGTAATAACAGTGT